CAAGTAATTGAGATGAAACTGGACAGTTTTAACTGAGGACTTATTTTCACAAATATTTAATTAAGCTTGGATATAGCTTTTTTTTTATTATTTAACTGAGGCAAGATTTTGAATGGTTACAGCTTTACACCTGCAGGCTCCTAGTCCATCCATCTGGAAGATTAAAGTATTTTGTGAAAACTAAGTTTGACCTTATGAAAATGTAGACTTGACATCAAAATCTATGATGTTTTAAATGTGGAAATATTAAGATGAAGATAATGTAATTGTCATAAAAAAGTGAAAGAGGATTCACAGGGTGTACCATTACACCTTTTTTGGACAGTATTTAGACTGAAGCCTACCTAAGCTAGTTTTAAAGACTTAAGCTAAAACCTCTTCTTATAGCCCAAAATTTGCAGAAAAAAACCCAAACATGAAGTAACCATCAACTGTATCATTTTAAACAAGCAAGGTTAATGGTGCCAGCATGCATGTGGAGCATTCTCTAATATGAGAAAAAGAAACCTGCAGTGAATGACAGTTCTTTCCGCCTTTTTTGCCACTATTACATTTCCAACCAAACTAGAGGTAAACTGCTAGCCGGTTCACTCACAAAACCAAAACTTCTCCATATGGCTGTATTAAAAGTATTGTAGAATAACCAGTGGTAATTTATTTTTTCATTTGCTTTTTAAAATTTGGATATGGATTCATTTTCATTTAATACATCTTTAATGGGCTATATTTACTTAATATCCGTGTTTGATTTTTGCCTTTTCCTGCATTTATTGTGATGATCTTTGTCCACAGACAGTGGAAATGTTATTTTGAAAAAAATTCAACCACATTTTTGTCCTGCTGTAACATCATCAAAGGATGAAATATAAAAAATAACAGTTGGGAATACCTCTCTTCATCTGAAAGCTTGAGCCAACGGAGTATGGTCAAAATCCTTCTTTCCAGAGGAATGACCCTGAGGGGGGAAGAAAAATGGTGATTTTAAAAGCCTTTGATTAGTGTGTGCTCTTTTGTGATTGTTGGGGTTGGGATTTGGTTTTCTACTGTATTTTCTTTCTCCTCTACCTTAGGTTAGACCTTTCAACGAAGCAAACCTGCATTCAATCCTCTCATCATGGGCTAGATATAAAGGATATAAATACTAGGTTACCATATTGGTGGTTTGATTGTGGTAATTATGCCCCCCTGTGATTAAATTAAGTATAACTGACATGTAACTCCTAGCCATTGTTTACCCTGGAGCCTTGAGATGGTTTGGATAGATCTTAAACATGCCCCTGATCTACCACAGCTTTTTCAAGTGACTGAATAATGTCTAATCTAAGAAGTTTTTCAGGAGAAAGCTATAAATCACTAATTCCATTCAGTCAGGTTGAAGTAGGAAAACATTAAAGACGTTGCCAGTCTTTTAAGTACTGACTTTGGAAACAATTGGTTTAACGAGCCATTACCACAAGAGAAGCCACTGATCCTATTCAGACCAACTTACCCAGTGTTGCCAAATTAGATGGTTTACTGCCCAATTAGGTGGTTTTCATTTTGATTTTGAGGGTAAAAATTGCTTTGGGCGAGTGAAGATAATTTGGGCTGGTTCGGAGTCAGATCGGCGGTTTTTGAGTTAACCTATTCAAACACATGTCCATCACTGAGTGGCTACTGTCATCTGACAGGGTGTTTACAACAGAGAACTATTCTAGTGGTGCCATAGATTAGGCTAGTTTTAGCAGCAGGTGGATCTGGTGTGATAAAACTAGCGCTGATGATCGGTGCGTTCTGGTTGGAAGAGGAATCTTTTAAAGATGGTGGGGGAAACCGCTGGTTTTAGCGCTTGGTGCAATTAAACTCCTCACCCTCCCTTTATGAAATGCGCCAGTTGAAAGAGCTTTTTCACAAGTTGCTCTGCTCAAAGTCGAGTCCAGAATTCGCATGGGCCTCCCGATCCTCTCAAGTTTGATGAATTTGTGAACTGGATTAACACGGAATGGATACACATTAGACCCCATTCCGTTCACCCCGACAGTTATTCGGGAGATTTCATTCAACCATGTTCTGATCACAAATCACAATGGATTTTATTATAGTTCAGCGTAAAAGTAAAAGTTCAACGTTCAGATGTACAATATTCCAGACAACAATCTAATAAGAATTAAAGGTGAGAATTCAAAATCAACCATAGTAAATGTAGTTATTTCAATTATGTAAAAAATTAAGCTTAGCATATTTGTGTGTGCCCATTGATCGCAGTTTGTCTTTGTAAAAGGAGGAGTAGTCTGCCCATAGCTGTTTATGGAGAACAATTCTGGGCAGATTTTGTTGGATTGTAGCATTTTGACACGTAGCGTTGAATTAAGTCGTACCGAAGTGTGTGTTCATGTTCACACAGTAAATACAACAATATATTAATTGGGATTTTTTTGTGTGTGATGTGATGGTTTTTAACAGAGGTTTGGGCTCGACTCTCTATCGACTATCTAGCAACACTGAACTTACCCCTCACTCAATCTTTATACCAACCCTCTGAAAGTTGTAGGGTATGTATCTTTGGCCCTGTCCAAATACTCACACTTTCCCCTTTGTGTTCCTTCTCCTGTGTTTTGGTGTTCAATTGCCTAGTGTTCCGTGTTCCAATTCTCCAGAGTGGTGTTTTGCTGCAGTGAGTTAATCTAAGCGGACAAGCCTGAGAAAATGGAGCTTGGGTTCAAACCAGCTACCTTGAAGTTGCAGGATGAACATCTGCATCCCACATCACTGTCACCACATTATATTATCACGGTTTAATTAAAATTTTATTTTTTCTTGGATAAGACTTTTTATTACCAGTCTATCATAACCTTAAATCTTATGCAATGACAGCACATTTGACAAGAAAAACTAATTTGTAGTGGTACTACCATACCCTACAACATTAAAAAACTCACAATAATCATTACGATTTGATAACTAGTGTTTCCTGCAACAATTCAAAAATAGTTTAACGTACCAGGGCCAGAAGAAAGTTGCTGCTTTTACTCCTTGTTTCTCTGCTGTAATCCAGATCTGAAAAACAGAGAGGTTGCAATGAGAACTCTTTTATGGAGTGCAGATTTTTTTTTTTCTATGGTTTACCTGCTCTTTTTTTTTCAATTATAAAAAATATCTACAATATTTTGAATAAATATTGACAGCACTGATCTAAGGGCTATGAGGCTGGGCAGAATAGACATCCATTGGAATTTTTTAAATAAAACATCCATTGCTTTGGCATAATTCTCTACAAACCCAAGATCAGTCACATTGGCATTGATGACAACACAAATGGGCATCAATGAGGCCAGTGCCTGGATTTGGAAAGAACTGTTATTAAAAGTTACTTTGGTTTTGAACTAGTTATTAACCTTCAGTGATGCCGGGAGCCTCTGAGGTGCATTTTTTTATTTCTTTCCTTTTTAACAGGGAGGTCTAGTAACCCAAGTCGGGGAGCTAAATGTTGATGAATAGAAGAATATTCCACCGTCTACAGCAGATGTGTTCCTCCATCAGCTGATGTAAGGTGAAAACTTATCACAACATTCTTATTCAGAGATAAAATAGCTTGCTTCTCTAAGCCAGCTTGTTCCTCGTGTTTTGAGCTTCCATAAAAAATCTTCCTCAACATTTTCAAACACTGGAAATCAGGCTGATGCTACAATAGTTCTTACACACCAGGGCAAGGTCTAGGCATAGTTAAAAGAGGGGGCAGGTAAAAATGTGAAGGGCTTCACCCCTTCACCCCTACACATTATGCCCAATATTTTTTATTGTTGACTTGTGTTTTGTTCATTGGACTGGGGTAATAGCTAATAGTGTAATGGTAAATGGTCTGTACTGAACCGACAACCCTTCGGTTGCAGAGCAAACTTAATCTCAAAAGGCAATGAGGGAGAGATGCATTTCAGTTAAAGGTGTTAGGTTATGGAACACTCTTGACAATGAGATAGAAAAAAAATCTCAATCAATTTCCACATTTTGAAATTCATTATGAAAGGATATTGGCCATTAAACACAGGTTTTGCGGGTATACAGTTAATTTGAATTATGTCAAGGTTTTTACTCCTTTCTGTTCCTTTTAATCATGATTTCTTTTAGTTGTTACATTAACTATTCATGCTTATTATTGATTGAATGAAATAAAGATGATTTTAATAAAATAAACTATGTTCAACTGCCCTTGCGACCTCAGCAGGGATAAGCGTGTTGATGGATGGATGGATGGATGGATGGATGGATGGATGGATGGATGGATG